CGCGGGGGCGCCGCCCGCGGCGGTAGAGGGCAACATGGAGTCCCTCCGCATGGTGCAGCAGAAGCTGGAGACCCTGAGCGCGCAGGCCGGCCGGGCCTACCTCAAGCTCTCGCGCAAGGTCGGGCAGCTGAGATCGCCGCGCCTGGAGAGCCGGAGCGGCCTCCTCGAGAACATCCCCGGCTTTTGGGGGCAAGCGTTCCGAAACCACCCCCAGCTCTCCGCCTTCCTCAGCAGCCGAGAGAAAGAGGTGCTGAGCTTTTTGAACGGCTTGGAAGTGGAGGAGCTTCACCGCGCTAGACTGGGCTACAAAATCAAGTTCTACTTCGGCCCTAACCCCTATTTCCAAAACAAGGTGCTCATCAAGGAATACGGGTGCGGTCCTTTCACTGGGGTGATTTCTCTTTCTACTCCAATCCAGTGGCTCCCGGGACACGATCTGGACTCCATGAGTCAGGGAAACGTAGAAAAGAACCGTAGCTTCTTCGGGTGGTTTGTAAGCCACAGTTCCATTGTGTCTGACAAGATTGTGGAGATCATCAACGAGGAACTGTGGCCCAATCCCCTGCGCTACTACCTTCTGAGTGAAGGAGCCCGCGGAGAGAAAGCAAAGGAAAGCGGGCCAGGTCTGGCACAGGAAGGCAGGCCAGATCCGGCAAACGAAGGCAGGCCAGGTCCAGCACAGGAAGGCAGGCCAAATCCCGCAAACAAAGATAGGCCAGGTCCAGCACAGGAAGGCAGGCCAAGTCCAGCAAACCAGCCGGTGGAGACCCCTACGTCTACGATGAAACCATCCAACTGATCCTGTGCAAGTCTCCCTGCTACCTCCTGTGGGACCTGTTCCTGGCTCTCTACGTGTTTGCTTGGCTGTCTGTGTTCTCTTCATCTTGGCTTCTATGTGCTGTAGTCCGCTTGGACTTTAGCGGGAATATGGCACTTAGGATCATGTTCTTGGTTGGGCCTCTCTGTGGCCGTCTTGTTTTTTTACAGTAGTGTCACATGTTAGGTGCTCTCACCCGGTTGTATGTTAAGCACTTGTACTTCATATGTACTGCCTCTCTGTACTTTGCCTGGACCCTGTTGTTGGCCCTGGAACTCGCACTTGTCTTTAACACAAACATTCTCAAGTCATTCTTCAGGACGGCCAGAGCACCCTGGAGCTCTGGTGCTTCATGGCCAGTGACTTGCCGGGCTTCAAGTTCATGCTGGCCATGCGCATTATCAGTGGAAAGCTTTACTGTTACCACTGCAAAATTAAGCCAGTGCAAGTGCGTAGCCAGCACTTGTTGTTACGCAGATCTTGGAGCAGCAGCTGAGGTGCCACCTGCCTTATCTCCAGCTTTGGCCGGCAGAATGGCCCTTGACTGCTGGGCATTGGTGGGCGGTACGCGATGTCTTCTCCACCGTCGTGTGTCTTCTTGCCTCTGGACGTGTCTGCTGGTGAACCTTGGATGTCTGGCTGTGCCTGGTGACTGGCAGACCTTTAAATTTTGTCTAGGTTGTTATCGGCCCTCACAGGCTTCCTCGTCAACAACAGGACCTCGGGAGCTGCCTGTGGACTCAAGCACCTGCCTTCCCCGGACTTCAGGCATCTTACTGGCTGAGACTGAGGGGTGGGCTGGTATGTATGGACACATACTCATTGTCTTGGTGCTGTGGCTGCAGGTGAGGGTGGGCCGGGGTCCCACGTTTGGCAGCTAAATAGCTTTGTAAACTTCTCTTATTTCCCCTAAGGTATGACCAGGGTACTCTGACGGAGGTACTGTGGAGGAGGTGTTTCGCATCTGTGGACTGCTCTCTACTTGCTTTATCTCACATCTCCATGGCACTGCCTTGACTTCCAGACCTCTCTCCCACTGTACCTTTCCACTTTCCCTCTTGCCTCCTCTTCCTGCCACCTTCCTTTTCCCCATGCCCCTTTCCTTTTTTATTTTTTTGAATTTTTAAAAATAGTACTACAGCTTAGAGAAGAGATAAAGCAGGGTTTTCTACATAGAGACCCATACAGCTGGGGACCCCTATGCATACTCTCATGCTAGGCTGAAATAGTCAAGGAAACCAAAAGGCCAAGTAGGTTTGTGGTCAGACTCTGATCCTCATTCCTGGGTCCTGTTCTATAGTTTTGAAGTTGAAAAGACAAGGCAACTGTGTTGTAGACGAGTGTCTACTCTTTTTTTTTTTTTTTTTTTTTGTTAGCACTAGGTGTTTAAACTCAAGGCCTATGCACTTAGAACCTCAGCCCTTTGTTTGTGTGTGTGAGAGGGGATCTCATTAAATTGCTACATTGCCCAGGCTGGGCTCATACTTGCAGTCTTCCTGCTTCAGCCTCCCACACTGCTAGGGTTATAGTCTGTTCTTGTTCTCACTTTTGTGTACATGTTCCTGAAGATCCAGGGGCCTCCTGCTGTCTCTTCCTTTGTAGTGGTTGCAGCCGCCTGGATCATCAGCCGCAGCTTTCCCACTCTGGCAGTCCTTTGCTCTGAATCTTCAAATGCCTGCAGGAGTAGGCATTTGTCTCCACTGTGGAGGATTCCAGAGTGCACCTAGGGCATGGAGAATCTGTTCTAGACTTTCAGGTTATTTCCAGTAGATGGGCAAGCTGAGCTGGGCCCACCCTGCCCAGGCTAGTGCACCTCCTCTTTCCCCCTCATCCCTGGGGGTGGAAAGGAGGATTAGGTCTATATCTGTGCTCCCCCCCACTTCCCTT